GAAATAGCTAATATTGAATCGCTATATTTATTATATTTTTTTTCTTCATATATATTAAAAATTTGTTGTATTTGCATAGTTCTTAGATCATATAATTGCATAACTTGAATACCTTCTCTATATTGCTCAATATGAAAGTAATTACCAAAAATACAGTTGTTAATACGAAATATACAAGATTTTGACCTGTATAAAGTTTCTAATTCTTTTATAAATCTTTTTGGATAGTTAAATTGCTCAAAATCATTATTATCAAGTTCAATGGTAAGCCTATAGATACCATTAGCATTAAAAATAAAAAAATAAGTTTGTATATCATGAACAAAAGAAACAATTCCACCAATTTCTTCTTCTTTATATTTTTCAACTTCAACTACTTTAAAAATTACTTTATCTGTTTTATGTGAATCTAAATGTATTTTATAAATAACAGTTTTTCCATTCAAATGTTGCTCTTTATCTTCCAATATGAAAATATTATCTTTCTCAATTGTGATATCTTCAACTTGAATTTTAACTTCATCTTTTTTAACTATCATATCAAATTCTGCTATACATGATATTGCGACAAAGATGACATTTTTTTCTTTCATATTTGATATTACTAACATCCATTGATCCTTAAATTAAGAATTACAGAAATCTTTGCTAAGATAATGTGAATATTCATTATCATTTTTGATTTTATCATATTGTATATATTCAAAAATTTTAAACCCTTTAATTTCTGCAAACAAATATACTGTATATTAAGATTAATTTACAAAAAAAAACATAAATAATAATATTATAATTACTATGATTAAATGTAACTAGATATTTTCCATCTGGGCTTATAGAAATATGCCAATCTGATTTTTTTATAGCTGGTAGCAATTAAATTCAAAAAAAATATATTTAAATTTACTTATTTATCTTGAAAATTTTTAAATAGAAATCAAATTACTTACTGGTTATTTTATTATTGAATTAATTTAAATTTTAAATTAAATTTGGTAAAACTATATATAATACATTAATAATTCATAGAAATAACTTAAGATCTGTATTATTATTGATATTAAACTAAATTTAAATTGAGTTTTATAAATTATACATAAATTCAATGATACAACAGAAATCACTTACTCTCTACATCATCCATATTAAATCAAATATTTGAATAATTTTTAAATTTAAATACAGTTGAATTTATAAACTATACATAAATAAAATATACAATAAAAATGACTTACTTGATGTTACATTAGCATCAGCTAATTCAGCTAATTTAGTCAATTTTAATTTTTAAATTTAGTTGAGCTTTATAAACTGTATATTAATCAATATACAATAGAAATAACTTACGCTTTTGCTTTATAACTAAATTTTGCTTTAGAACTAATTCATTAAAAATTGAACAATTTAAAATTTAAATTTTGCTTTTATATTATAAAAAAATCATATAATAGTAATAATTTACTTACAAACTATAAAATTTCAAATGTAGATTTTGTCAAGTTTCATGAATTATATATAAATTATACAAATAAATAATTTAATATTTAAATTTAACTGTGATTGAAAATATAAATAATTACCTCCTGAGTCATTATTGAATAATTTTAAAATTAAATTTTAGCCAATATATTAATAAAGGATACATTTACATTATAAATAACTTACGCGTTGTTACGTTGGGTTTTGTAGCTTCAAATAAAATCTCAAAGGGTAAATAAAACTAAGACAATTACTCAAGGAATCACGGGTGAGGATTCACAAT